TTTATTAGATTAAATCTAAAAAATCTGAAAAAAATATATATTAAAATATATAATATTATTTTTACTTTAATATAAAATTAAAAAATATTTATTAGTAAAATTGAAAACTTTATATAAAGAGAAAAATCTGCATTTTATTATATTTAATTAATAAATTTTAATATTATTGCATTATTTCTAATTATCATTATAGAATAACTTTATCAAAAAAAATTTAAAAAATCCAAAAAAATATATGTTAAACTATAACTTATAATCTTTGTTTTAATATAAAATAAAATATATTTATTAATAATTTTAATATAAAAATAAAAAAGTAAAAATTTTTATATAAAACAAAAATTTTAATTTTTGTAAACTTTATTAATATAATTCTATTAGTTACTATATATAATATAATTAATTCTATTTATTTCTATAATAATTGAACAAATAAATTATTAATTATTAATTAGTAATTAACTAAATAATTATATTAATTAAATAATTATAGTTAAAATAATTATTGAAATAATTATTAACTAATTATTTAATTAGTATTATTATTGAAATATTTTAATAAGAGTCAAAATTTTAATTAGATAAATTTATATAATATAATATAAAAATAATATATTGATATTTTTAATAGCTTTTTAATAACTGGAATTTTTCAGTATATTTCAATCAATATTAATTTTACTTTCAAAAACTTTTTGGTAAACTTTCAATAACTTTTAGTAATAATACTAATTTAATTATTCAATAAAATATAATAATAAAAAATATAATTGTTTAAGAGTAGGATCTTTATTTACATATAATAATCTTAATAGACAAGTGACTAACTTTATAAAGTTAATTACTTATCTAATTTAATATTTATTAATCAAAACAGGTGCTTTTATATATATATATCTTTTATAAATAAAGATCTTACTCTTAATAAGAATTTGATATTTTAAACTAACAAAATCTAACTTATAATATTAGTTAATAAATTAAAATTATAAAAATTACTAATTTTTTTTAAAAATAAAATATAAAATATTCTAGAACATATATTTAATAAAACATATATAAATTGATTTCTTTTAGAAAATAACTAGAATTATAAAAATACTAATTCCAGAAATAATCAAAATATAATAAAAAAATTCTTTAAAAAAAAGCAATTTTATAATTGAATTAGAAATTTATTACAGAGAATATTTTGGATAATTTTCTAAACTTTTTCTGAATCAAGATTTATATTTTGTTACTTCAAAAATATAATTATAATAAATCTTTTTGTTTTAAATTATTATAAATTTTAAAAAAAGAATTTTTTACTTTTAATTATATTATATAGCACTGAACGATAATAATTTTAAAGCTAAATTAAGCTTTAAATTTTATCCAAAGAAAATTAAGTTTCCACACTTTTAAACAACAAAATATATTTCGGAATTCAATTCAAATTAACTATTATGCTATTTCTCTGTTTAAATGAAAAATACTCAAATTAAAAAGGCCAGAAAACTTTACTATACTAGTCAATATGCAAGTAGCTATACCATTAAACTGCAAACACAAATTAAATTAAGATTGTTTATATATACGTATATAAATTACTCCTTCAATAAAAGAAATTGTTCATATTAATCGGCCAACTAATCAATTAACCAGACAAATAACTGATAAATATATGCTAAATAAACATGTGTGTTAAGATAATGAACGAGACTAAATTGTTCTTTATATAAAATATTTTTAGTTTAGAACCAGAAGAAGGCAGAAAGTAGGTCCAAAGTTTCATATATGCTATCAACTAAGCGCCAATCTTTAGCAACGTTACTGCTTCGTCCAATGTCTGCGGTATCGAATTCTTCTCGCATTACTTGTTCTTGTTGTACTTGTTCTTCTTCAATACCTACAAGTATAATAAATGCATTTTGTCTAGGAAGTATTGGCACAGGTGGTGCATCAATAGTTTCAGCCTGTTGCCGCAAGAATTCTATATCATTATCATCCTCATTTTCTATGACGTCTTCATCTCCGTCAATTGCTTCTTCGTCTCCCTCACTATTTTCACTCTCCAAAAGCACTTCTGCCATAGATGACAATAATGTTGATGACGAGAATGGTCTGTATTCATCACCGAGGAACATTCGAAGTTCTTCAGTTTCTCTCGCAGCCTCATCATTATTCAGTAAGAAATCGCGAATTACTCGACGACTATTTAGAGGTGAAGCTAAACGCGATGTAACTAATGCTGGTACTCTTCCAATTTGCGCATTCTCTTGAGTAAAAACGTTGGAAACTACTGGATGATTATTTGAAGATGGTAGTAATTCCACTGATCGATTCTCTTTTTCCTCTTCCTTTTCATTTTCTCCTACATTAAATAATTTATTGCGTTCAAAATCGTCAAATGCTAGACGATTTTGTGATACTGACGATTCGAATGGTAAGGTTTGTCGAATAGGCAGACCTTGCTTTGTTTTTTGTTCGTTGATTGGCAACTCCTCGCGTAAATATTCGCGTGCTACTACCTTTTCTAACTGGTGACTAGTCTGAACAGGTGCCAATGGTGTTACTTGATTTTGAACTACTTGTCCTGTGAATTCTTGTGTTTCTTTATTGCCAAACAAAGCGCGATGCTCTTTAGTCTCTTCTTCAAAATCGAAAAAGACAGTTTCGCAATCGCTTCCACTGGTGTCTTCGTAGTATTGTGAAAGGGTACTCATTTATACACGTTAATAAAAGTCAAGTAAATTATTATTAGGTGTGAATATGTTCAGTTCGAATTAGTAACGGGTAAACTAAACTAATAAACTCGTTTAACCACGCGTGTTCATATGAATTTAATTTAGTGTAATCACGTGATAAATGTGACTAATATATCGATATTGATTAATAACTCGAACAAATTTTGCTTCTAATATAGAAGATTAATATATAGCTAATAAAAATTTCTTAATATGATCCACTGCAAAAATATAGATACACGAAAAATGAAAGTTAATTATAATTTTTTTATATTAAATAAAACATATCTTAATATAACTTTTTATATTATTTTTAGTATTTTTTATACTTTTATTTAAAGCAAAACTTTTCACTTTTAAACAATAAAATTTGCAATTTTTAAAAATTAAAATAATTTTTAGGTATTATCATTATGAATTTCTATTTTTAGAAGTTTATACTCAGCAAGTACATTAATATATATATAATAACAATTAGAAATAATGCAATGACATCAAAATTTATTAATTAAATATAGTAAAATATGAATTTTTCTCTTTATATAAAAGTTTTCAATTTTTCTAATAAATATTTTTTATTTTTATATTAAAATGAATATATTTTTTTAGATTTAATCTGATAGAATTGTTCTAATTATATATAAAGTTAATTATTTTTTTATAATTAAAACATATAAAAAATAATAAACTTTATATAATTAGAATAACTTTATTAAATTAAATCTAAAAAATCTGAAATAAATATATGTTAAAATATGTGATATTATCTCTATTTTAATATAAAAATAAAAAATATTTATTAGTAAAATTGAAAACTTTTATATAAAAATAAAAATTCATATTTTACTATATTTAATTAATAAATTTTGACATTATGTATTATTTCTGATTGTCACTGTATATATATAATAAATATATTTTAAATTTTAGCAAAATTGGATTATTAGTTGTAAAATAATCTAAATTTTAATTTTTTTATTAAATATAATACACATTTCTATACTATATTACTGAAAATTAAAAAAAAATAATAAAATTGACATTGTTTCTTTATATTAAAATTTGTTATGTATTAATAAATATTTTTTATTTTTATACTAAAATAAAGATAATAATTTATATTTTTGATATATTCTTTTAAATATTCTAGAATTTTTTATTCACTTGTAAATATGAAAAAAAAATTTTTATAATTAAAATTGCAATTTTTTCAATTTTAATTATAAAAATTTTTTTTATGTTTACAAGTAAACAAAAAATTATATATCAAAAAATACAGTTCAAAAATATATCAAATAAGAAAAACATGTTCTAAAATAATCTGCATGTAGTTTCATAAATTTGACATACTTTTTTAACTATTATTATACTCATTGTGAATTTTTTATGATATTTTATATATTCAAATAATATTAAATAATATACTAATAAACAATATAAAATATTTAATTTTAATAATTCCAATTAATCTCTTATAATTGAAAAAGTAAATGAGAACTTAAAATTATGAATTTCTTTTCATAATATTGAGTTAGAAGAATTAATCTTGCTAATAAAATACTATTTTTGTAGTATTTGACTATCAAAAATCAAGAACAAAAAATCTTAAATATATATTAATAGACTTAGTTGATACCTATAAGAAAATCAAGTTAAGATCTTGTAAAACAAATAAATTACAAAAATAGTGACATGCAAGTAATTCAGAAGTAACAAAGTGACTTATATTTTATCACAATTACTTATCTAAACTTGTTAATCTTTATTTTTTGGAATCTTATTCAATTTATTCGATATATTATAATCAAATTGTTTCAATTAATTAGTTTTATAAGTATCTTATAGATTTTGTTTAAGAAAACAAAAGATTCCAGCTTGATATAGATGTAAGGATGCTTGCCTAAATCCTTTCAGAAAAATATCGTCATAATTTCGACAGGTTACACACTAATTGTTAATTAGAATTTTGACATAATTTCGGTTACGACGGGTTTCAAAATTCGTCAGAATTTCGACGGGTTATTTACTAATAGTTTATTATAATTTCGACAGAATTTAGACAGTCACTAAGGGATTTCGGCAAGCAACCTTATACTGATCAGATATCAGCTGTTAATGAGAATTTACCAGGTTGCTGAACGAGATATGCTTGTAACTGAACACGTCAGCTATCAAACCCATCACTTACTCATTTTGTAATTGTTTGTCAACAAGGAAGTGTATATCTTTCATTAAGTGCACTAATAAAAGTTTTAAACCACTTGCTATTTGTAAGCATGAATGATATTTGATCTGTGACAATCCAATGTGTAAACTTCTTGTTGATATCATCGACTTTTGCTTGATCTTTGTGTCCATATGGGTGAAAGTGTTGGATTTCTAGAGGACGCTGATTTATTACAAAATAAGTACTATGATGTTTTGCATCAAAATGTCGAGTCATTGTTGATGTTGCAGTCTTCTTTTCAAAGCGAACACGACATATTTTACAAAGTGTTGAGCCATCAGATTGTTCAATAATATAATCATGTATAGCAGTCACCTTCCTACATTTTGCCGGAGTATTATTAATACTTGGAGTATGGCTTGGTGCACTGCTTGATCCGTTACTTATTGATGTGAAACTCTCTTCCTGGTTTTCATTAAGTAATATTTCATTATAATCTACATCATCAGTAAGAAACAAAACTGGCTCACTTGGTAAATTATCATGCATGCTTGAATTGGAAGTAGCCTGAGTATCTTCAAAACTCATTAGTTTTTTTTGTCATGTATTTTCGAGTAAGAGAAAGAAGTCGTATTTGTGATGTGTTATGATTATTTTATGTCACAAGATTATTTTTACATGGACGCGACATAACAAAAAAAAAGTCAAAAACCCTCTTTCTCATACCAAAAATAAGGGAGAGAGGGAAGAGCGAGATGGAGAGGGAGAGAGAAGAGTGAGATGGAGATGGAGAGGGAAGAGCGAAATGAAGAGGGAAGAGCGAGAATAGCAAAATGACACTATTATATTACTATATATTAATATTATCTAGGATGATCCTACAAATTGTCTCAGATTATCCTTAGACATAACTTGGTCCTATGATTAATCACATGACTAAGTGGGATCGTGAGATCGAAATTTTCTAAAATTAGGATTGGACCAGAATCATCCTGTTAAAAGATCATTCAGGACTTGATCTTTAAGGGCTAATTAACATCTCTATTTATTACAAATAAAGTTACTGTAACCCTATAAAAACTAATGTTCGACAAATGTCTAACTTTTTTGTTTGACATGATTTTTCAACATTCATACAACAAAAATAGCAATTTTTCATGTGATAAATATTGAATATTTTTATTTAATCAAACTGCAGGATTATGTATAACAGAAAAATTCAAAACAAATATTTATTTTTGAAACTGTCTCTGATATTCTAACAAAAAAGATTTCTTGTGAATTTTACTATATCAATATAATTTAACGCGCAATATAATATAACAATAACCTTAACTATATTTTGTAATTTGATTAATTACTTCTAAAAGTCACATGTCTGCAAATTTATGATTACAGAAGTTAAACATTTATATTTATTAACATTTGTCACATAGAAAATTGCTATTTTTGTTGAATGATTGTTGAAAAATAATGTCGAACAAAACAAGTTGAATATTTGACAAACATTTTTTTATAGAATAACATTGAATTTTTTTTCCATATCACCATCTTTTCCAATTTGCATATGTCACCTGTTTTTAAAAAAACACATTATCACATTAGTGACAAACAAAAAAAAAATATGTGAGTTAGCTAAAAAAAATACATCCTATAAACAACAAGAAATAGCAAGCAAGTTTATAAAATGGTATTCAGACCTGAAAATAGATCATTCAACTATATCAAAAATTTTAAAAAATGCTGATAAGTATCAATTTCGTGATGATATGCATGCTGAAAAAACTTTTTGTCATCATTCTGTGAAGTATTCAATATTGGAATGTGCCATGAATATGTGGATAAACCAGGTTATAACTAAAGAAATTATTATATTAGATTCAATAGTAAAAGAAAAAGATCATCAATTTGCACAAGTGTTTGTGATATCAGATGAATCAATTACATTTTCAAATGGATGGACTACTAAATTTAAGCAACATAATGAATTAAAAAAAATTATAATGCATGGTAAAGCAGCAAGTGCACCATTAGAAAACTTACCTGAAGAATAGAAAAAATTACAAGAACTTCTCTCTAATTATAACCCAGAAAATATATATAACACTGATGAAATAGGTTTATTCTATTGATTACTTTCGAATTAAATATTTTCTACAAAACTGATGGCTGGAAAAAAAAGGTAAGTTAAAAAAAATTAATAATTTAAAAAAATTAATTAATAATTAAATTTTTTAGAAAAAAGTAAGAGTAACTGTGTTACTTTGCTCAAATTCAACTGGCTCTCACAAACTTCATTCATTAATTATTGGTACTTCTAAAAAGTCATAATGTTTTAATGAAATAAATATTTCTCAATTACTGGTAATATATAAAAACAACAAAAAAGTGTGGATGAGAAGTGATATTTGAGAATAATAGTTATGTTATATAAATGGTTTTCATATTCAAGATAGGAAGATTTTGCTTCTTGTTGATAATGCGACTTCTCATATAATGCCAGAAAATTCAAGTGAAGTCCAGGATAATGATACAGATGAATCATCATCTGAAAATGATTCTATTGACGAAATTGAAGAACTCCAAGAAGAACTTTAAGAAGAATCACAAGAAAGATCACAAGGAAGATCACAGAGAGGATCTCAACGAAGATCTAACATCACCCATTCTGACCGATTAAGACAAACTCCAGATCTTATAAATATTAGTATATATTTTCTTCCACCAAATATAACTGCTCATATTCAACTCATGGATGTTGACATTATTCACAGCTTCAAATCAAAATACAAAAAGCTGTATTGTCATTATTTAATCGATCAATTTGAAAAAAATCAGAATCAAGAGTAAGAATTTTTTTTAGGTAATTCAGCTATCCAAAAAAAAAAGAAAAAAATTCTGTTATTATATTACAATTTATATTTTTTTTTTAATTTATTTAATTTATTTTTTTATTAAATATAGAAAACTTACCTTGAGAAAAGTGATCAATTTTATTGCTGAAGCTTGAGATGATGTTAGTAATATCACTATAAAAAATTGCTAGAGAGCTACTAGAATTATGCCTGAAATAAATGAACTTGAAATAGATGAATTTAAAATGGATGAATCTGAAATAAGTGAACATGATGAAATTAATAATGCTAATCAACAATTAATATAAGATATCGAAGAATATACTTGCCTGATTAATCAACCAGCTAAAACTGAAAATGCATTAATTGATAAAGATATTATTAAAATGATAATTCATGAATTTCGTAATAGTAATGATGAAACAGATGATGAAGAAGAATCATCATCACCTCCTCCAATAATTATAACGGAAGCTATCGACATACTGAAACAAGTTATAAGCTATCAAGAAAGTCTTGAAGTTAAAAAAGGATTTAATGAGAATGAATTAATAATATTATGAAAAAAACTTAGAGAATGGCATAGTGAAAAAGATAAAAATAAGAAGCAATCTTCAATTTTATTTTTTTTTTAATTGTGATGAAAATATTGATCTTGCATTTTAATTTTTTTTTATTATAATTTTTTTTAATAATATCAATTAATAATACATAATAATAGTAGTTTTATAATAAATCATTAGATAGTTTAATATATATAGTTTACTTTAATAATTATATTTCTAATTTTCAATTTTGCAATCATGTACTTTAGTAGTAAGTAATTACATTGTTATTGTTACCATTTTATATGAGTCCTTGGGAGAGCTGGTGAGTGCTTAATAACATTATAATAAGTTACTTGGCCAGAATAATTATAGTAAAGTTTATTAAGAATGACGGGTGGGAGAGTATAATATAATCAAATCTATATAATATATTAAGCATTAAACTATGATTATAAACGAATCTAAAGGAAGGTAACAGTGTGTTCATGACATAGTCAGCTAGAATGAGACCTGGGATTTTTAATAATAGTATTTAATTAAAGGATTTATGTAATAAATATGTAATTTCATTATAAGATCATAATTCAATAATAATAAAGTATAATTTTATTATTAGGCGAATTTATCATTAATTTATTACATGTTTTTAATTATTATTTATTATTCTTGAGATCTTAAAAGCTATTGAACTTGAGAGCTAAGCTAAGCTATTGAACTTGCTTCTGCTTTATGAGCTATTGCTTCTGCTTTTAAATCTAAGCTAAGATACAAGCTGTATTTATAAGTATTTGATAATTATAAAATGATTATTTAGAGCGCTTGAAATAATCAGTTGGAATGATCATTTAGAATAATCATTCAAAGTGATCATTTGAAGTGATCACTATTTAAAAATAACTATCCAATAAAATATGAATATAAAATTAACCAATAGAATATAATAGAATATTATCCAATTAAATTTATGATATAAATTAATCAATAAAATAAGAACTAAATATTTATATTATAATAATATAGCTTGCAGTTAAATGTGATGGCAATGAAATGGTTCAATGATTAAGAATATTTATTGATCAGAAGAAATATTCACTAGCAAACAATAAAAAAGATGAAATATCAGATGAGGAGAATAATAAAGAAAATAATTTAGCAATTACTAATCTGTTAGTATCTAAATGAAAGAGTAGACTTGAGATTAAATGATATAAAGTTGCTATAGAGAAATCACATCAAAAATCATATACTTGTTATATTTATAGTTAAACTAGTTATAATAATACAAGATGTGAGGAAAAAACCAATTAATTTATCATCAAAATTATTTATAAAATTTACAAGCAATAAAGAAAAAATTCCAATATAGTATAATTATTATGACTTATAATATTATTGGATAGAAAGTTGAACATTCTCTTTTTTGTATTTTTGTGATTATTTTAACTAATATTTCATAATCAAGTATGTAATATATGCAGGATTAAGATTGGGAATTATGGTAATAATTAGAGTTATTAATTAATATTAACAAAAAAGTCTGGTTATTCAGAAAGTAAGTTTTTTTTATAATTAAATATGTAGTATGTGCACTTAGAGTTAAGATTAGATTGAGATTAGAAATAAAGTTAAAGTTATTGTCAGAATTATTAACAAAAAAGTTCAGCTATTCAGATTATAAGTTTTTTAATAATCAAATACATGATATGTATTAGAATTTGGTTGAAATTAAAATTTGACTAGGATTAGGATTATGATTAAGATTGAAAGTTAGAATATATTTAGAGCTTAGAATATGTTTAGAGTTTTGGGTTAAGATTGGAAGATATATTTAGAATTATTAATGGTTATAAAAAAAAACAAGATTCTCTAAATTGTAGTAATGCAGTATATGTATTGCAGATAGTTATAATTGCTGATATAAAGAATTATTAGACAAACTAATTTAAATTTATATATTAGAGGAGAACAATGATTAGATAAAGATACAAACAAAAAAATTAAAATTTGATTAATATCTAAAATTGAGATCCTCCTTCTATATTATGAACAAATTACTGACCTATCACTATCACAATCATAACAAACATGATCCAATCAATCAGAAAGCAGTAAAAGAGTGAATAATCAATAGCTGCATTTAATATTGTCACAGTTTTTAGAGAAACTATAAATATTAGTGTTAATCAAATATTGTTAACTACTTTTAATAATCATTTGATGAAGAAAGTGAAAAAAATGTGACTACTGTTAAACTTCAATTTGTTTTATTATTACTATAATATAGCTTTTTGTATTTTAATTTTCATTTCAATAATAGAAATCAAGTTGTCCTAATGCATCATCATCTTTCGTTAATTTCAAATACTGTTCAAATGCTTTATTTCTATTTTTTGTATTATTCTATGACTAGACCAAAGTCTACAAAAGAATCTGAAAATAATAAATAACTTTGCAAAACATTCAAGAAAATTACAGAATCAAAACTTTTGAGATTTTACTGTTAGTATCTATGTGGTATCCTATAATAATAAAAAAATTGCTGAAAGTTGTTGAACATCACGTGTTGTCACAATTCATTATTTTGAACTCTTCTTGGTGTTATTATCAATTGTGACTTCAACCAATTATCTATTTGTATTAGGGTTCCGAAAAAAAGTCTGGTTCAGTTCGAGTCTGGTTCGGTTCGAGCTTGAACCGGACTCGAACCTGACGAAA